GACTGACATTCATGAATATGTCTTTGCATAAAAAATGTTAGCTCCATCTCAAGTGAGAACACTACAGATTAATCTGTTTACCATTCACCTGAACAAGAAAGTTGCCAATTATTTTGGGGGCTCCAAGAAAAGATACCTTCTTCAAACATTGTAGAAGATGGCTCCTGTACTTTTTTCATTGGCTGCATTGATAGCAAAGTACTACACCATGATAGAGACATTTTCAGTCATTTTCGTAATCCCATACCAGTCCAGTAAGGTTTAGTTTGAGATCAAAGGTAGTTCCACCAAGCTAAAATTGAGGCCTCAGGTCATCATCTGCAGACCCAGGGAATCATATTCTGTTCCATCATGGTAGCTTTCTCCCTGATACCTTTAGCCATGACGTGATACAGATCCATAGGTATAGTGTCTCTTAGCAGGTGGTCTGTATTCTCTTGGCTTCTTGGAAGCCATCTACCAGAAAGACCTAAAATATTTTAAAGTTGAAAAATTGTGAGATTCAGTCAGGCTCTAGTTGGACTTCTTTATTTGAGCAATTCAATTATTTATTGACTATGTTATCCTTTAGTCTGAGTCCAACTCAGAGATTAATTCCATCAAAGTATGTTTGACAGATACACTGGTCTGTCATAGCCTAAGGTAGACCACTGTCTACATCCCCTGACAAGTATATTCACATAGGGCCTGACACTTTTATGCCCTTTACCATTATAAACCTTTCTGCGGCATGTGATATTTAGTGGTCTTTACAAATTCCCCTTTGAACTCACTTCCTGTGAACTTAAGCTTTTTTAACATGAAAAGATATATTTGCCTGGTCACCAAGGTATCATTTCATTGTGAATAAATTTCAGGCTCTCGTGTTTAATTCTCCCATTACAAGATTTTGCAAGGATGGGATTATCTCTGAACTCATCTGAATTTCTTCTCCAGTTGGTATCGAAGTTCTGCTTTAATTAGCATATATTTGTCAAGATTTTTTCTACATTCCAATGCCCATTTTAGTGAGGCTGCTAAACCATACCCTTGATGATAAAAGGACTGTAGAGTCCTACATGCTGCAAACTAAAGTCAGTAGACAGTCTGCTTGGTTTTGCTTATTGTAATACCAGTTCATCTGGCAAGGATTTAGTAAGAGGACTTTGTCTAAGTGGATATCCAGTTGTATTTCAGATTGTTAAACATGACTGGTTTGAAGCTGGAAAACACTTTCAGTGGTCACTCGATTCAAAATCAGGCTGCCACCATAATCTTCTTCATAGATGTTTCTGTCATAGATGTCTACAAATCAGCTGCATGAACTTTTCTGCACATACTTATTTATGAAGTAGTTTTTCTTGAGTTTGCCCTCCAGTGGGAATCTCATTTTGGATTCTGGATGCTTCAAAACTTGTTTCAAAAGTAGAAAAAAACAAGCTCCTATCCTCAGAAAGATTTGCTGTTCAGTCATGAAATATTTTATTTTTCGTTAGCTAACTTTTTCCCCCTTTGGCACAGGTTATGGGTCCATTCTGTTGTGCTTACGCTGAGTTTGCCAGGAATCTTAGTAATACATATGCATTCAGATATATAAATATATGACACAGATGGCAGGCATGTTAAGCACAGAGGAGATTATTTACCTTGGAGTTCTGCTTTTCTGAAGATACCATCTTGCAGGATTTTCACTTGCCCACCCACATCCTTATAGTTTTGGAGGATCTCTTTCTTACATCGATAGTCATAAATTTTTTTTTTCCTGAAAACGTCATCTTGCACTCCATTGAAGGAACTGACTTAGATGTTCAGAGGTAGCATTTATGCTCATCAGAGAGCCTGACTAGTGCTTTCCCTGCTAACACTGCCCTCTGGTGGTATTGCACAAGAGTCAAGGTCCTGGTAAGAATCCTGCAAGGTGATGTCTTCAGAGAAGCAACATTACATAAATTGTTTTTACTTCCGCTCTGCTTAAATGCCCCTTGTCCTTCCTCTCCTCTGCCTCCGTACTGACACACTTCTGATTGCGTCACCATGAGGTCCTTATTCTGGTATGGATGACCCATGAAGCCATACACATGCTGTTCTGGGGATTTGCCAGTAGGTGGTACCTTATTGAGTCTTGTCACTGGACTCTGGGTAAGTTAAGAGTTTCAGTAGCCTGAGAAACCTAAGGTTCAAAAAGTAGTTTATGATGCCAATTGTAATAATCAGCTCTGCTTCTTGGTGACTGTGTTGCCTCTTTAAACCCAGCTTGCTGGCTGGACTTCTAGCTTTTCCACTGAGTACACACTTCCACTCACTAAAGCTGCCAGGCTGTGGCTCAGCTACTGGAACCAAGCAAATTACATATCCAACAACATGATGTTTCTAAGCCATGCTGGGTTACTTTTAAATGCCCTCCCTCCATCCTTTCTCCCATGAGAGCAGTTAGAGAGCCCAGAGCACTCCCCTCCTTCTCCTTTCCCTGCTTCCCCAGCTCATGTCATTCTGAGAGTCAGGATCAAGTTGCTTTTGCATTGTGATTCTTGGCATGAGCCCCTCTCAAAATCATATTACTGTTCTGTGAGTATAGCAAGGGCTTGAGACAGCCACTAGGAACAAAATACAAAAGAACCCATTAACATTCTGCATGCAAAAGCCAAATAATTTACTATATACTACTCTAGTTTTATCCACAGAAGCCTGAAGCATTAACTTCTTCAGAATACATTTGCATTTAATCTGTTTTCAAGTTTTAGGGTGTTTGGTTTCATACCTCTTCTTTCAGTAACACTGTAGCAGTCAAATATGCATCGCAAGCACTGCATTGCATTTTTCATTTTACTGTCCCTGTGTAGAAACATACTGTTCCATCTGCTTAGAATTTAAATTGCAGAAATATAGCCCTCCCTGCTGCATAGTGTTTTCACTAAGCCAAGCACAGAGTGTTGTTGTCCTAGTAGTCCTAACATGTCTGCTGGTTAAAAATACTTCAATTTTTAGAACTACTAGGATGATCAGTGCCATAGAATACTTAAAAATAAGGCAGAAGGTGGGGTAGGGTGGCATTAGAGACTAACTGGTTCAGAGAGACATGAGCTTTCATTGGAAACCTACTTCATCAGATGCTATGAATGGACTGCTTCAATTTCCTTAAAAAATTAGGTGCCATTTGGTATGAGAGATCATCCATTTAAACCTAGCTGAGTTTGATGTTCTCTCCATATCACACATGTGCACTCCATAATTCCTGTACAAAGTATAATATTAAGTTAGAGAGAACATATCGGTTACTTAAGGGTAATACACCTTATAAAAATGTTGTGCATAGTTATAGTTTTAAAAAAGTAGTATTGGAAACTCAGGAAATGTAATTAGATACCAGAGTTTTGAAAGTATGGAATTAAGTAGTAAATAAATAAATCAACTTCAGAAACACTTGAGAGAACCTCTCCCACCCATAACAAACGGATTGTCCCTATCAGTGGGCGTGTCTACACATGCAATTAATGCACATGAATAAACTCTGGAACTTATTGCTCTGGACTTTATTGCTCCCAGGTGTGCTGTTTGAACATGTGCCCGGGACCAAAACACATTTAGCTGGATCAGAGCATCCCTGGCTGGTAGGGGCTCTAGGGAGTCAGCCTGCCAACTTATAAAGTTGGCTTCCCTCCCACTCTGCCCAGTTCAACATGTCATGGAGGAGCTGGCTGGGGCATGAAGGTGCTTCAGCACAGGGCTAGCTAGCAGGCAGCCCTCATACTAAAGCACCCTTGTGCTAGCTGGGGCAGCATCTACGCGTGCTCTGCTGCAGAGTAAAAAACTCTGCAGCAGGATAGTTAACCGACTGCTGAGTTCATTAATTTACTCTGGCCTAACAGGAGCACATGTAAACATCTCATGTAGATATGCCCAGTGACCACAAAAGTGAGAATTTCTTACACTTCATCATATTGGACTCTGGCCTTTTTTATGACCATACTTAGTTCATAGATAAGGGCATACTTTACCAGTTCCTGATTAGACACTGAAAGCTGTCATTCCTGAGTCTTCATTAAGATTCCTTGGGCCACTAACTGCACAAGTGTCATTAAACACAGAGCTAGTTCCTGTATCTGTGCATACAGACCTGCTAAGCTTAGGTTGTTAAATAACAGCACATACTTGAAAAGCAGTTTAAAAACTTTGCAGGGAAAGAGTTAATGTTTTGCAAGAGATGTTAACTAACTTTTTCTTCATTTCAATACATATGTGTGCTCCCTAGAAGTATAATTTTGCTTCACAGATTTAATAAATATAAATGTTTTGCGGGTGGGAGCATGTGCTGTGACAAATTTCTCCAAAATACAAATTATAGCAGGTATATATTGTTTAAACAAAGTAAGTAAAACTGGGCAAGTCTTTTCCTGTGTGTCATTATCTACTTGCTTTCTTAACAAATCTCTACAGAAACCAAGAATACTGTATAGGCTGCAAACTTCAGCTGTGCAAGGGGGTGCTTCATGCTGTCCAACAGGTACCCTTCTAGATATCGGAAGATGTGTAAACGGGCTTTCACACTGACTTATCTAAATGTGTAAACTAGGCAGAACAAGCTATTCCAGAACAATTTATTTTGCAGTACCTATTCCAGAAATAGCCTCCCATGTTCCAGAATTACCACACTCACCAAGTGTGCACAGTTTCCACACAGGAAGCATTTCTGGAGTACTGCAGAATTGCTTATTCTACAATAGCTACTCTGCTCAATTTCCCCATGTAAACAGGGGCTCAGGAAAAGTGACCAGAGAAAAATTTAAATGCTAATCTGAGTTCCTAAAATGTTAAACTGCTGTTTTTCCCTTCTCTAAATCTGATGCTCCAGACAGACCTTCCCAAATTATGAACTTTCTAGAATAGGGACTGCCTTGGTCTAATTAGCTCATTCAGTGCCAAGTCTGACAGTGTGCCGGTCACTGTCCAGGACCCTCATTTAGTTTCACTATATAAATAATAAAAATGAACTGATATGTGTTGTTTTTGGGGGGCTTTTGCAGCTTCATGATGAATTAGAAAAGGGCGAGAGGAACAACGCAGAGCTGCAGGAATTTGCTAATGCCATCTTACAACAGATAGCTGATCACTGCCCTGACATCCTGGAGCAAGTCGTCAACGCACTTGAGGAGTCGTCATGACCTCAGCCGCTAGCCCCACAGGAGCAACAGAGCTCATGGCCAAGCCCAGTCAGTCCAAGGAGTCATGTGAAAGGAAAGGAGTGTGAGAGAGACAATGGAATAGGAATTTTTGGTGCACCTTTTACAAAGAAAAAACCTCTATAAACTACATGCTATCTTGGTTCTCCCAGTCTATGACTGCTGAATCCAGTTTGCATTCATCTTCTCACTGCCTTTCTACTTTGGAATCTGTCTCCCAGTTAACTTTCTTCTTGGAATTGAGGCTTTTGGATACATCTAAGCAGAAAATGTCTGAGTCCACTAAGCACAGAAGAGGGCATCCACTGGACACAAGCAGTTCTTTGTGAGGTCATGGAAGGGGGCATTGGCCTTTTGTTCTTTTGTTGTTGCTGGTTTGTTTCTATGAAAATGTAAAACCTGAATTTCTTAATGCTAAAACAGAGCATGCTCTACTTATGAGCTGCAGCTGACCTGCATCAGCTGACAAGCTTGGGATTTGCTGCCTGTCTAAATTTCTTATGAAAAGGAGGGCAGTATCACCAGGTAAAGAGAGGGCAAGTCTCTCTGTTTGGTCTTGCTGGTCATTTCCATCCAGCAGCTGTGGGGTAAGATAGGCATATGGGTGCTTTTTTGTTGGTTAGTCTGTTTACTTAGCCTCACTTCTGTTGTTACTGAACTGGCTCTGAAGTGCCAAATGTGGCTTATTTTCACATTGTTTTCTTTAGCTCTTGGGGTCTTAGTTATGTTTTTGCACAATCATGTATCTCGCCTCTGCCACTTGCTTCTTGTTTTCAGAGAGTTCCCTTCCATCAAGCAGGTCAGCCTCCAAGCATAGTGTGTGTACCTTACCCAGTGCTAATGTTTCAGGCAGTGGTTTTGTGAGCTCTAATTGCAAGCAGAGTAGTTCTAGCATTAACTACATAAGAAAGCTGCACCAGCTTGAGTAAAGAGGCAATTTTTAAATCAGTTAAGATAAATGGGTAGAATAGGCTATATGGACACTCTTGCTTTAATATAAATTAACTTCCTTTTGATTTTTCTTAATTTGATTAAGAATCACTTTAAAGTGAATGGAAGTAAGCCATTCTTAAACTGAACTAAGAAAATTTACTTTGGGGTTTGCACCCATTTAAATGAACTAGTTTACAGTTACACTTTTAATTAAACCACTGCAACTCTATTGCCATCCATCCTTTGCCATCCTCATGATAGCCAATACTGGCAAGTGATATAACCCCTAATAAGTGATCTGTTTGTTATTGCCTTAGCAAATTAGAATCTATTCTAGTGATAAGGCTCCAACGGTCCATCCATACCTTTTGCTCTTAGTGTGAAGACATGATTTTGCTCTGGGTGCTTTTTGTGTCTTCAGTGTGCTTCTGTT